TCTTCTTCTTCTTCTTCTTCTTCTTCCTTTTATTTTTTTTATTAGTAGTATTTTTCTCCTCTTCTTCCTCGCCTCCTTCTACTACTACTACTACAACAACTACTACTACTAGCACTACTACTACTACTACTACTACTACTACTACTACTACTACTACTACTACTACTACTACTACTACTACTACTACTACTACTACTACTACTACTACTACTACAACTGCTGCTGCTGCTGCTACTACTACAACATAAATACTACTACTAGTACGCAGTAGCGGTCGTGTTATTGTTTACTTTGTTTCGTATCCTCTTTATTCTTTTGCCTGTTTAAATGCCGCTGCCCTTCCTCGTCCACCTCTAGACACTTTTGATAAGGAAATAACAGCCTAATACCACAGCATTCCTTTAGTGAACACATTATTTAGTTCGGTTCTAAGTGAAAGCTAAAAGTAAATTGTACATACTGTGACTTGTCAACAGAAATGAAACAGTATAATATCACAAACATATAGATACAATGAAATTACACCAAACCTGTGTGACTTTAAAAAAACGAAGTAATGAATTGATTAACACATGTTTCAAAGATAGCACCGGGTAATTTAAACAGGTGTTGCTTGTAAACAACAAATGCATGTAGTAAAATATGACACATGCGTGTTGTTTCGGTGACGTACCTTATCAGTATTGCAAATCCGTTTGAGATCGACTTCTTAATGTTGCTTTAAATGATATTTATAATAGTGGGTATATTCCAAATGACCTTTTAAAATCCATATTTATAGCTCTGCCAAAGAAGCAGGCACTTTAAAATGTGAAGACCATGGCATAATAAGTCTTATGAGTCACATGACAAAGATTTTACTGAGAATAATTATGAGAAGAATAAGAAACAAAATTAAACTAGAAATCAGCGATGAACAATGTGGATTTATAGAAGAAAAAGGTACAAACAATGCCATATACATCCTAAGGACATTGTCAGAAAGAGCTATAGAAGTAAAGACTGAATTGTACTTATGCTTCATTGACTTTACAAAAGCATTTGACTGTGTGAAGCATGAAGAAGTAATCAAACTGTTAGAAAAATTAAACACTGATGAAAAAGATCTAAGAATAATAAAGAATATGTATTGGCAGCAAACAGCAGCCATAAAAATTAACAACTGTTTAGGTACAATTTAAAGCATAAAGAGGGGCGTACGACAAGGATGTGTACCATCACCTGATTTGTTTTCAATATACAGTGAATATATAATGAGATCTTTAATTCATATGACCGGAATTGTGGTTGGTGGGCAAATTTAAACAATTTACGTTGTGCCGATGACACAGTCTTGATGGCAACAAGTCAGAAAGAACTACAGAAAATGATAGACATTGTGGTGTTGGAAAGTGGAAGAATGGGCCTCAGTTTGAACAATGGGAAGACAGAAGTAATGGTGGTATCAAAGAAATGAATTATTCCTAAATGTGTAATAAAAGTCGATGAAGTTATTTTAGGACAAGTACAGAAATTTAAGTATCTGGGCACATGGATAACATCAGATGGAAGATGCATAACTGAGATAAGAGGACAGGCAAAAACAGCATTTTATAAAATGAAGAACATCTTGTTCAATAAATCCTTGTCACTTAGAGTTAGAAAAATAATTCTTGCTTGCTACATACATCCAGTTTTTACATATGGCTGTGAATCCTGGATAATCGGTAGGGAGGCCGAACAATTTCTTGAGGCCTCAGAGATGTGGTTTTACAGAAGAATGCTTAGAATACCTTGGACAGCCAAAAAGAGCAACCAAGAGGTTTTGAAAGAGGCGGGAGCCCGAAGACAACTTATCACAGACATCAGAAGGAGACAGTCCTCCTTCTTCGACCATGCTATGAGAAGAGCGAAACTAGAACATGTTGTGACTAATGAAAAGATCTCTGGAAGGAGGGATAGAGAAAAACAACGAAATAAAATTCTTTATAGTCTTGTTGCATGGCATGGAGGTGTGTTGGCACACGAATTGATACATGCTATAGGAGATAACGGATTATGGGGAGGCATGATCGTCCACGCCAGTGGGCAAGGCAAGTCTTGGTAGTACGAGATACAGATGGGAGAATGGTACTGGATCACCGTGTCCCAAATATTTGGAGTCGCTGAGCCCTTTTTAAAATCAGTTTACTTGGCAAACCTTGTATCCCAAAACGACCCAGCCTTGAATAGGTACCAGGTGTAGCCCTGAGAAGTAAAGCGGGCCGGCTTGATGCTGACCACATCACCCATCCTGTGCCACTGGTCTATAAAAAATAGGTTTAGCCCTATATACCCATTACGCGTGAAAGACGTGGGAAAGGGTCCTTTTTTTTTTACTTGGCAAAGCCCTTAGACTAACGATACCCTATATCATGCAATTTAGTGGTGGTGAAAAGTATTATTACGGAAAGGAGATAAACATGTGTAGGTAGTAGGGCAAATAAAATATCTAAACAAATGTACAAGGTCGATGCAAACATATTTATTTGTAATATTTTGAAATTTACCATGACAGTCAATTTACTATCAACAAACACCAGTGCATATGATAGTGTCACAAATTGGTCATTATAAATAGTTTTTCACAATTCAATAAATCAAACCATTTGCATTACAATAGATATTACATTGTTGATGAGTGCAGCAATAATGTCCATAAAAAAGTGTAAAAGCGTTTTAAATAGAATATTTTGGTCTCACTGTTTTAGTTTTCGTTTAAATAGAATATTTTGGTGCTGCTGTTGCTGCTGCTGTCTGCTGTTATTTCTGCTGCTGTTGCTGCTGCTGCTGCTGCTGCTGTTGCTGCTGCTTCTGCTGCTGCTGCTGCTGTTGCTGCTGCTGCTTCTGCTGCTGCTGCTGACCACGCTGCTAGTGCTGCTGCTGCTGCTGTTGTTGCTGCTGCTGGTAGTTACCAAAGCAATAACATTACTGGAGACACAGACTTTTACCCGCGCTTGCTATCTCAATGACTCAATTATTATGCTCAGAAAGATAAAGATGGGCTGGGTCCGAAGACAGTGGGTGGAGTCTCTAAAGCGGTCCATGCTTACACATATCATTTTCATACTTTCGCCTTGGTACGCGGGTGGGCAAGGAAATGAGCAAGCTGATCGGCTTGCAGGTAAAGTTACTGTGAAAGGCGGACAAACCATGGACCAGTCTGATATTCTGAATGCTCTAGGAGAAGTAAGAAGTTAGCAAGAACCAAATAATGACTATAAATCAACAACCATAACAAACAGCAAGAACACCATTTTAAGAGGGGCATGGCTAGACAAGAGCGTTATGCTAGAAGCCAAAGAAGTAAGGAAACCAACACAGAACTTGTGACTTAAGACGCTCGCTATACGCGGCAGGATTTACTGATGAGGCTTTTGGAACTTATTGTTTCGATGTGCAGTGAGGATAATCTGTCGCTTAACTAACTTAACTTTCTAGCTACATAGCTTATTAACTCACTAACTAGCTAACTAACTAATTCGCTAGCTTATTAACTAACTAGCTAATTGCTTAACTAACTAACTAACAAGCTAACTAACTAGCTAATTAACTAACTAGCTAACTAACTAATTAGCTAGCTAATTAACTAATTAACTAGTTAGTTGCCTAACCAACTAACTAACAAGCTAACTAACTGGCTAATTAACTAAAAAGCTAACTAACTAATTAATGAACTAACAAGCTAATTAACTATCTATCTAAATTATTAGATAGTTCACTAACTGGCTAGCTAATTACCATCTAACTAGCTAGCTAACTAACTAACAAACTTACTAACTAGATAAATAACTAACTTACTAGCTAATTAGCTAACTGACTAGCAAATTATCTAACTAACTAGCTAGCTTATTAAATAACTAATTAACTAACAAACTAGCTAACTTATTAACTAACAAACAAACTACCTAGCTATTTAACTGACTAACTAAATAATAACCTACCCAAACAAAAATTACTAAATAAATATTTAAAAAAACTAGCTAACAAACTAACCAGCTAATTAACTGACTAGAAAATCTAATTAACGAGTTAATCAACCAAATAACTAACTAATTACCTAGCTAGCTAACTAACGAATTGCCTAAAAGTGTTTAAATTCGACGGAATTAAGGTTTTGATCCCTTCTGGATTGTGATCCCTTGAGTTGTGCATGCACGTTTGAGTTTACGGCGCTGAACACTGCGAAGAAGTAGAACACATTACCGTGCGTTTTATTGCATCTTTGTGTTTGCTCCGTGTAGAAACTGCGATAGATAGTGCAGTGGCTAGGCAAGTATCTGTCAGTCTGAAGGTTTACATAAGGAATACACATCAAGGTGAATGTTTAAAGTTGACTAACTCTTCAAAAGGAAATCTTATGGAGAGTAAAGGCTGTTGACGTAATGTACATCAGCCGTCAAATGCCCACCAATCTACACAATCCATAATATTGTATATTTAAATACACATTAATGGTCCTGAACATCTCTTTATATATATATATATATATATATATATATATATATATATATATATATATATATATATATATATATGTGTGTGTATATATTACAAGTGAAAACAAAATCCAGCAATAAAAACAAGGCTGGCATATTTCTTATTCTGGACAAGGCAGATGTGGTCAAGGCCCTATGGGAACAAGCAACGGAATCAGTAGAAAAACAAGATTATTATGGCCTGGAGAGAATGAGGCACCTGGGTGTAACCGGAGGGTCTGGCCGGCTCACTACACTCAGATGAAAGGAAAGAAGGACATATAACCATGTTTTGACGGGTACCATAAGTATTAGAACTCTGCGCCGCTGCTGAAGATTAGGACGAAGGATACATGGGAATGCCCCGAGTGCTGTGATGTAAATTCTTGATTCAACTCAACTTAACTCATTCAGGTTTTGTGTTTTAAATTGTTTAGTAGCACTCTAGAAGCAAAGATATTTTTTTTTTCTTTTAATTTGTAGATATGCAGCATTTCATGATAACTAATTTGTGGGACAGGAAGGACCTAGAGTAACAAAGAAGAAGTAAATAGAAATATCACCACAGTTGCCATTAATACTGAAACTAGACAATCTCTGAATCCATGAACTTAAACCTTTCTCCAAGCACGTACAGACTAGACTTCTGCTGTCGCTAACGTCGAGGAAGTTCATATTTACAAGGGACCGAAACGCCAGCGGCACCCGTGTTAGTTTTGATCCCCTTATCGTTAGTTCATTTAATAACTGAACGTTTTTAAAGGCAGCATCTGATATCCGTGAGACCGGGTTATAGTTTATATTCAAATATGTCAAACTTGATTTCTCTGGGAAACTGGTTTCAGTTATTTCTGTAATGAAATTATAATCGATTTCAATCATATTAATCCACTGAGGTATCTCAGTACCTCTCATTTCATGAATTATGTTTTGTGTTACGAGTAGCTCTGTTACGTATTTTAACTTTAAAACGATACTAGGAATTGAGGGCAATGAGTTATTGGCAAAACTTAGTACAGAAATATTTACAGGTAGGGAACCCGAATACGGGTCGTTTATCCGATTACCTGTAAAATAAAATTGCTCTATATTCTGGAAAAAAGAAAAATCGGGGATGACCGTTAATCGATTACTTGTTATACCAAAATCATCTAGACTCTCAGTGTATCTTTTCAATATTTTACTTAACTGATTGGCGTCAGTAATTCTATTGTAGTCAAGTGCCAGTGAACGCAGATTGGAAACTATAGGTAGCCATTCAATATCTACGATTTTGTTTGCATTTAAATATAAACTTTGCAAAACGGTTAATTTTGAAAGAGACTTTGGGATGGCCTTCAACATGTTATTAAATAAAGCAAGCGATGTTAAACTGTTAGCGATGTTGTCAAATGCATTGTCCGGGATTGTTGCAATGGATGTATCTGTGATACTTAAAACGGTCAAATGAGTAAAGTACTGTATGTATTCTGGCCATAATGCTAGACTTTTCTGTGATAAATAAAACATTTCCAGAGTTTGGCCAATGTTCTTCATTGCGTTGAGGTTCCAGTCTGTAATGTTTGTGTCTTCAAGTATCAGTTGTGACAGCGCGTGCAAATGAAGAAAGGCGTCTGGGATTTTCGTAAACAGAGGGTCAGAGAAGGCCAGAATAGTCAGAGTAAACGCTGAAGCATCGAAAGCAGCTTCCTCCACAGTGGTGACCGGGTTTTCTTCCAGGGATATTTGAGTCAGGTTGCCTGGTAAACTCTGAGCTGGTATTGTAGTGATCTGATTGTTCTGGAGATAAGCAGGAAACAGTTTAATATGAAGCTGATTTACGATCTAAAAAAAAAGTAGTGAAGTAAAGGACCCTTTTCCACATCTTTAGGCGTAAAGTCCATATAGGGCATATAGGGCTAGACCTATATTTTATAGACCAGATGACACAAAATGGGTGATGTTGTCAGCATAACGCCGGCCGCCTCTACTTCCCAGGACTGCACCCGGTACCCACTCAAAGCTGGGTCAACCTGGGAGCTAAGGTCATTTTTGAAAAAGTCAGGCTCCGCCAGAGAGTGAACCCACGACTTTCCGATCGGCGGCGAGACTCTAACCGCTTCACCATGGCGACTCCCGATTTACAGTCTGTGTTGTGGTAATTATGTAATCAGAATATGCATGTGAGTTTAAGTAAACATTATGTTCTTACGAGTCATTTGGCAGCTTATTGATGTAAATCATACATTTTGTTTTAAGAGAAAAAAATAAGTCTGAGCTTTTGAACGAGCTCTTGAAGCATTTGAGCTTTTTCAGCATGCTACAGAAAAAAAAATTCTTTGAACATCATGGACCAAGTGACTTGAGTATCAAGGAGAATTAGTTCAAAAACTGCAAACTGTGCCGAAAGCTAAGGTACTGTGTTTATGTTAAACGCCGTGGTGGCTTGGTCAGATCGTTCACGGAGGGTTGTAGAGGCAAACCTCCGGTAAGATGCAAACAAGACACTGAAGAGGCATTGGCTATAAAAGCAAATAGGGCTGGATAACTGGCAACAGAAAGAGAGACATTCAGGCCTGACTTGACCGCAATGGACCTGTTAATTGTTGACGAATGCTCTAATTTTTACAGCGACCTAATATCAGTATCATTAGGTCTTTTTCAGATTAGTCAGCGATATCAAGTGATTCGTATCATATGACCTTTATGTGCATGTTTGCATTTTCGCCCTGACACCTAACCATTTCTTTCCGAAAGATGTCTACAGAACTATCTCGTTATCAGCTTCTGACTATACCCCAATACATCTTTCTAGTTGTGACTAGATGTTCCAAAAGTTCTATTCTCATATGTAACTAAATGTTCCAGATGTTCACTTCTCATAAGTCAAAGCGGTTCCAGAATTTGTATTCTCATAAAACACTAGTTGTTCAAGATCTTCACTACTCAAATGTAACTAGAGGATTAAGATGATCACTTCTCATAAGAACTAAATGTTCCAGATGTTCACTTCTTATGACACTCGATGTTTCCGATGTTTACTTCTTATATGTCACTAGATCTCCTAGATGTTTACTTTTAAGATGTCACTCAATGTTCCAGATGTTTACCTCTTATGTCACTTGATGTTCCAGACATGCACTGCTCATAAGTCAGAAATATTGCATACTCTCACTTCTCATAAGTCACTAGATGTTCCATATCTTCACTTCGCATATATCACTGGATGTTCCATATTTTCACCGTTCATAAGTCATTAAATGTTCCAGATGTTCACTTCTAATATGTCACTAGATGTCTCATACTCTCAGTCACTAGATGTTCTATATCTTCCCCTCTCATAAGTAACTAGATGTTCTTTATCTTCACCTCTCATAGGTCACTAGATGTTCCATATCTTCACTTCGCAAATGTCACTCGATGTTTCAGATCTTCACTTCTCATATGTCACTAGATGTTCCGTACTCTCACTTCTCATTTGTCACTAGATCTTCTATATCTTCACCTCTCATAAGTCACTAGATGTTCCATATCTTCACTTTGCAAATGACACTCGATGTTCTAGATTTTCAAATCTGTTATGTCACTAGATGTTCCAGACATTCGCTTCTCTTAAGTCACTAAATGTTCCATACTCTTACTTCTCATAAATCACTATATGTTACAGTTGTTAATTATTCAACATGCTGCCAGAAATGATAATTGCCTCTATATGATTTCTGTGTTAATTTATCATCGTACCAGAGCCTCTTGTAACTCCTTCAGTACCCAGAAAGTCCTCGTTCGTTTTTTGAAATTGTATTACATGCTACATATTTTAGGGCTCCTTTTAAGGTCTCCGAAACGCACTGGTAATACCTTTCTTTTGCAGTATACAAGGCAGACTAAGTGCGGGATCAGGATGCACCAGCAAAATATGGTTATCTAGAATCCTGCATAGGCTTTATGTTATGTAGAGGAAGAACTTCACTGACATGTTCGCGCATAGCAGAACTGAACACTATCGTCTGCAAATATGGTAAAGTGCCTAAGCAACAGCTAGTTTAACTCATTCTATTTAATTTTTCTTCTAGTATATTGTGTTTCATAGTGCGTGTGTGTGTGTTTTTTTTTTTTTTAAACACTTTCAGGCTATACATTTTGTGCTCTAAGCATCGACAGCTTGGAGATTTAGCAGTGACAAGAAAGGTAATGATAAAGGTAAAGGTGAGAGGATTAACTTCATTGCACCGGATGTTACTAAAAATGGCTCAGTTGGTTTCCGCAAAACAGCTAGATGCCTGCCGAGAGCGTCACACAGAGCACGAACTCCGTAGCTCCCTCGACGACCCCCAGAGATCTTCCTAACTTATTAACTTACTATGGTATTCACTTATTAATTGAACGGCGCCACCGTGAAACCAACCAACGACCTTCAGAGCGCAACGCGAACGCTTGATCACCTCGCCATGAAGAAGTCCTGTGGATTGGTTAGTCTGATTATGTGCACTCAAAATAATGATACTACAAGAGGTGTGAGGCAAAAAAGGGATATGTTGCACTTAAGTGCTATTCAAAACAATGTTTTCCCGTAATGTTTTCCCGCAATGTGGGACAATTAATCTATTAAAATATAGGTCTAGCCCTATATGCCTTATACGTCTAAAGGCCCGAGAAAGGGGACCTTCACTTTTATGTAGAAAGTGTTAAGGCCTATAACGGAATGTTCACTTTGCTGTTTTGTTTGAATCTTCTTCTCTCTTCCAGTATATATGACCATATTAGATACAAGGGATATTTAATACTTACATCCAGAATAAGAGTAGTGAAGTTTGATTGTTCTGTAGCAAGTGATGGTGGTAGGGAAGTGAAGTGCTTATCACTGCATATAATTGTGGTGCCATAACATTCACATTCCTGTAGATAAAAACAGGCATAATGATTGAGTGAGTTTAGATGAACCCCTCTAGGACTGCAAACAGAGAAATTTACACAAGATGACGCAAAATGCAATGCGTCATTACTCGGGTGAGAATCCGCCTAGACAAATCCCAGAAATCCCGTTCAGTAAAAATGTTATATTGAGGGTCCCGACGGTTTGGAAGTAACATGCAGTCCAGCTGGGATCGGGGCTGTTATTTCAACAATAGGGAGTCGGCGTGGCGTAGTGGCTAGACGCTCGCGTGTTGATCGGATGGTGGTGGATTCGCCCCCAGGCGGATCAAGAATTTTTGTCAAAAATGACCTTGACTCCCACTCGACCCAGCCTTGAGTGGGTACCGGGTGCAGTCCTGGGAAGTAAAGGCTGTCGGCGTAATGCTGACCACATCACCCATCTTGTGATGATTGGTCTATAAAAATATAGGTCTAGCCCAATATGCCCTATACGCCTAAAAGTGTGGAAAAGGGACATTTACTATTTGTACCTACTTAGTTCAACAACAAATGCTCCATGTTAGGAGGGATCATTAAAAAAAAAAAATACACGGCCTACTATTTATTTAAAAAAAAAAGATCAACCACGTTTAACCTACTGCGCGCAGCGCCGGTTATAATTATGGTGGGCCGGTTTGTTTGTGCCAATTATTTTGGTAAACAAATGTTGACTGCACCAAAGCTAATGGCTTTGACCAGTACTCTAGTGCCAAGTGAGGGTTGCTCGGGGGGAAACTGGTATGCACTATACAAATCCACACACATTTATGAACATGCGTTATATTTGAATAACATTTATAACACACACGTCTGTACGCTTACGTGGGAATGTATGTTCGCATGTACGCAAGTGTGTATGTGTGTGTGTGTTTGTATGCAAACCCGGAAACGTGCATTCCCTCATGGGGGTGCAGACGTGCACAATAATACTTTTTTGGAACAGGTTTTGCCAAGCTATTTTTTAAAAAAAATGTGTACAAAATTAACATACAGAGAGGTAAACACCTTAATGTCAAGTAGGATTGTCAAGTGGTATGTATAGTCAGAACTTCAGTTGCATGCCCGCAAACAAGGCAAACCAAGCATTTGTACTGCAAACCAAAGATTTGCTTTGCTCAGCAGTGTCTGGAAATCTACGTTACTTAGAAGACAAGGTCATCCAGTAACAGTTGTGTGCTGCATGTATAGCTGGATGGGGTTTTCGGGATTTTCACCGGTTAGATTCTCATCTTTGACATGGTAATTCTGCAGACTGCAGTCCTAGTGAAGGGGGAAAAGGAGGGGTAGGGAAACTATTTGGAAATGCAGTTAGTTTTGCAAAATGAGAGTGAATATTTTTGCTAAACAAGATCACAAATGAAATAAAGAAAGAAAGTAGATGGTCACAACTGTTTCGCATCACGGCAAATGTTTTGCTTCTGCCAGACGTAGCCGTTGCATTTTTTATCCATTTGTAGACTGAAAGGATACAGTTTCGTCGCGCAAGCTACTGAGTTGAGTGCATGGCGCGATCCTGTGAGCTGCGGATTTCATTTGGAATGTTTTTCAACTGTGACCTACGTGGTTTTGTGAACAGTATATTTAGAAAATGGCGCGTGCCCTGTCGCCGCAATATTGGTGGTGCCCTTATGTGATTAATACTGATCGCGTGCGCAACTGCTGATCTGTTGGAGACTTCTGCTACCTTCGATAATGAACTGCATTTCTAATGTCAAACTGTTGGTGTTAGCACTTCTGATGGCTACCGTATGCGTTTAATGCGTGTGTATGCTAGTGCATATGCTGAGACAGCAGTCTGTCAATCTTTCCACAAGGGACTGCGACGAACATTCTGTGTGTTTTTCGTTGGCACAGGGACGGGCAACTATGGGGTGACTCGTTTGCTA